ATGCAATCCCTGTCTTTACCAAGCATGCAATCCCTGCCTTTACCAATCATTCCATCCCTGTCTTTAACAAGCATTCAGTCCCTGTCTTTACCAAGCATGCAATCCCTGCCTTTACCAAGCATGCAATCCCTGTCTTTATCAAGCATGCAATCACTGTCTTTACCAAGCATGCAATCCCTGTCTTTACCAAGCATTCAATCCCTGCCTTTAGCAAGCATGCAATCCCTGTCTTTACCAAGCATGCAATCCCTGCCTTTACCAATCATTCCATCCCTGACTTTAACAAGCATGCAATCCCTGTCTTTACCAAGCATGCAATCCCTGCATTTACCAAGCATGCAATCCTGTCTTTACCAAGCATGCAATCCCTGTCTTTATCAAGCATGCAATCACTGTTTTTATCAAGCATGCAATCCCTGTCTTTACCAAGCATGCAATCCCATTTACCAAGCATTCAATCTGTTAACAAGCATGCAATCCCTGTCTTTACCAAGCATGCAATCCCTGCATTTACCAAGCATGCAATCCCTGTTTTTTATCAAGCATGCAATCCCTGTCTTTACCAAGTGTGCTCTCGACATAGCTTCTGTTCTCTCTGAACTTTATCGTAAATGTGTCGTTGCTTTCTGCTTTCCTACCTGCTGGAAGTCTTCATAACTTGTTTCCAGTTTTTAAGAAATCTGCTGAACCATCCTACCCTTCCAACTACATTCTGCCTCTTTTTTTTGGGGGGGGGAAACCCCTACAGGTCATAATCAATAGCAAACTGGTTCATCATCTCTTATCTCAGGACTATTTTTTAGATATGTAATATAGATTTAGTTTCTCCAAGTCAACTGATGATGTATTGACGTTAATTGTGAGGACAGTCTCTCCTGCACTAGATAAAAATGATGAAGCCAGCGCTATAGCATTGGACATCTCGAACGCCTTTGACAGGGTTTTATCAAAGGGTCACTCATCGAGATCATCCTTTCGTACTAACACAGTTGTACCCCAGTGCTCCATCCTTGGCCATACCCCAGTTCTCCATCCTTGGCCATATCTCAGTGCTCCATCCTTAGTCATACCCCAGTGCTCCATCCTTGGCCATACCCCAGTGCTCCATCCTTGGCCATACCTCAGTGCTCCATCCTTGGCCATACCCCAGTGCTCCATCCTTGGTCATACCCTGTTTTTAATTTTCATTAATGACTTTTCCGATAACACTAGCTCTATATTTGGTGTCTACGCTGTTGACACAATCATTGCAGCCTTGACACTGCAGCCTTGATAGTAAAGCTGATCAGTCCAACAAAGTCAAAATAACACCCGATGTCCAAAACGACCTTAACACTGTCGTAAACTGGGGAAAAGCATGACTTCTTAATTTTAACGCCTCCGAAATTAAACTTCTCTCCATTAACCATCTGAGAGGCACATCTCTGCTTTCCAGCAGCATGGCTGATGCTAACCTCCACGAAATCGACTCGTTTCGCCTTCTCGGTCTAACTTTCTTTGCTGACATAAAGTGGAAAGACTATACTGAATCCATTCCTAGGTAAGCTGCTAAGAAAGTTCGTTCACTCTGACGTGCGGGACAGTCTTTCTTTCCAGAATCTACCATACATATCTATAAGCCTACCATTCGTCCTTGCTTACAATATTGCTGCAACATAATGTCCAGTGCCTGCTATTTGCTTTGAGATCCTTGATCACATCCAAAAAGAATCAGCAATATTATTGGTCCTGATCTGACAGCTCGTATTCATTCAGATTTCCACCGACGTACAAAGTTAAGAAACTTCATCCTGGCCAGTACCTGATGTGTAACCGCTTTGGTATACCAGATGCGTTAAGCTTGGAAGTGCTGGTTGTGTAATGGATAGGGTCTAGGACGTATTAATTCGAGACCCGAGTTCCAACTCCACTCGTTTTTTTTTATATTCCCTTACGGGCAAATACCCTTGAGAAAGCTTTGAGTCCACCTTTTCTCCATCCATCCAGATAAACGTTAATTAGTAAGATTTCTATCACTAAATCATTATTATCTCAAAAATTATTCTAATTAAAATATTTTCTGTTTTCAAATACCCTGATAAACCGTAGTAAATGAATCAATCAGTCATGTTTATGTTATATTTTTTAATCGAAAATCAGAATGCATATAAATCTTTTTTTATAGTTTGCGGTGCGTCTGTTGCCTGGAGATGCGTATTCCGAAAAATGCGCCATTTTCGCCCAAAAATATGAGAATATACCTTGTATTGGTAAATGAAAAACGGTGTAAATGTCTGTATTCAAACCTTTGTAATTATTGGTTCATTCATTTATGTATATTCAGTTATCGCATTTTGCACCTCTCCGTCTCACAATTGTGGTTCCAGGTAAAATGGTCTAATGGCTTGCCGCTTCCTGATACAGCGAGGACGTTGAGGTTACCTCGTCCCTCATTTCAGAAGTTAAAGAGGCAAGATCTACAAGAGAGCAGATGGTTTGGATTCAGAGTTTTCCTTCTCCTAGACTGGTTACCAACTAAGGCAATAGGGACCAATCTGTCCTGCTAAATATCCCATAGCTGTGAGGAAGAGATGGATTCACACCTTTCACAAGAACGCGTAAGAGAATGTATTGAACTCGACAGGGATTCGAAATCGGATCTCCGATTTGCCAATACGAGTCGCTATCAATTACTCCATCGTGCATTCTTTATTCATTATTGGAATAAAAATACAACAAATGGATACTTAATTTTATTCGACAAAAATCCGTTAAACCGAATAATCCACGATGCGGTAAAGCATAGTTATAGTGAAGTGAATACTGATTGTTTGTGTTTCGTTTTTCGAGACTACCTATGTTTTTCTATGTTTCTGTGTGAGGGATTATTACGTCGTCGCTTTTAATGCGTAGAACAAACACACTTCTTGTGAGATGCTTGTCAGAAACCATTGAACCTTTTTCCGCGTAAATATTTACGACTTCCTTTATGTTTCTGCCGTCAGGTTTAATTAACAGGCCGCTTTTCTGACGCTTACACGCAAGGCATAAAAGTCGCTTTCTGCTGTGTAAAAACATTTCCAAATAGTTTACTTAGTTATATTAGTTCCTAGATGCGTAGATCTGTTTAATTTATAGACACAGTTGATTGAAGAATACACCTAGCGTAGATATCAATTCATCAGGCCTCAAGGTTTGAAAGGCGTCATGTTTTCTAGTTCATTTTTACAACAATATCAGATTCTAAAGTGCCAGAAATTTTCTGTTTCTCTTCTCATGGATCTCCACATCTTCCTGTTCTTCAGGGCTCTTAGAACATTTTGTCTTTTTGCTAGCTCTCCTAATGTCTGTTATGCCAACCTTTTGTATAAGACCTTTAGGTACGTTATACTGTTTTCCTATGACGCTGTTACCTTCAGTATGTCATGTAAATGTCAAATTTTCCAAGCCCCTTTTCCTCATTATCTCTCCTAGAAATATCAACTTGTTATGGTCCGGTTCCTTGTACCACGATGATAGCCCAAGGTAGAACCAATAAAGAAGAACTCGAATACGGATATGGAAAAACACAGATATATTACAAACAGGAATATATACAGAGAGGTAGAAAAGTGTTAGTACGAACAGTCAGGTTTAGTAGTAATTGTCTGAAAGCGACTCTGTTTCGGACTGCCTCTGACTGCCTCTGACACGACTGACTGATTCCTAACGGACTTCACTCCAGACTGAACAGTATTTAGTCACGCCCCCCCCCCCAACGAGGGCATCATGTGGCACAAGGCCGGTTTAACGTGGGATCTCCGAGCCCGTGGGCTCGGCCAAAAATATGCCCTTTAAACCCGTATAAACGGCTTCAGGGTCGGTTTACCTCCCCGAAAGAGTCTCTGCCCTTCGGCGTAGCCTCGTTCGGGTTCCTCCCCGCTCGAAGGCAGAGAGTTCAACCGATCAGCCGATCAGCCGGTCGTCCGACTTCAGACTGAACGGTATTTAGTCACCCCCCACGAGGGCATCATGTGGCACAAGGCCGGTTTAACGTGGGATCTCCGAGCCCGTGTGCTTGGCCCAAAATATGCCCTTTGAACCCGTATAAACGGGCTCAGGGTCGGTTTACCTCCCCGAAAGAGACTCCGCCCTTCGGCGTAGCCTCGTTCGGGTCCCTCCCCGCCTGAAGGAAGAGAGTTCAATCGATCAGCCGGTCGCCCGACATCGGACTGAACTCTCTGCTTCCTCTTGAAGCGCAGTATTTATTACGTATTGGATAACCCATTATGTCATTATGGGTACGGTCCCAGAACAATATATATATATATATATATATATATATATATATATATATATATATATATATGTTTTTCACATCCATTTCTCTAAAACTTAGTCGTTGCTTAGATGTTCAGTCAATGGCATTCTCAGCATCCTTCTGCGTAACTAAATTTCAGTTACTTCAAGTCTCTTCTTAATTTGTGAGGAGATTGTCGAGCATTCAGTGCCATATAGGAGGACTGATTAATACCTGTCCGCGAATGTAGTAGTGAATAATAGTTAAGTAGTCTTTTCTTTGTTTTCTCAAGGAATTTTCTTTTTTCATAATACTTTACTTAGCTTTTGGAAGACAAATTCCACACATCCTAGATGATTGATCATTGTACGTGTTTAATTTTCGTGTCTGTTGCTAATAGCCATAAATTCTGTCGTCTTATGTGATGTTTAGCCATTTCTTTAATTGTTTTTTACAGTGCTGGACAATCTCTTCCGAGATGAAGATAAGACTTGAAGCAACAGAAATGTTGTGCTACAGAAACATGCTGAGAATACCATGAGTTGAACATGCGAGCAACGATGAAGTTTTAGAGAAAATGGAAACGAAAAGGACACTTATACTCAAGATCAGGAAGAGTTGAAATTTCTAGGGAACGGACGGAGTGTCAATGCGCGACGCATCGGTAAAAACTGGCTGGCTGCTAACGTGGACTGACCGAAAGCAGTGGGTCTGCAAGGCGGCGTGAGTCGAAGGACGCTATTCATTCATTTTCCAGTGCGTGAGACGGACGAACAACACGTGGACGGATATTGGCAGCAGACCTTCGCGAGAGCCCAAAGAGGATGAATGGTGGCATCGGCGGCAGCGACAAATTAGATAGCATTATTCTGCTGGCGGCGGCATGAGATTCCACGGTCTTCAAACGAGAGGACCGCGTGGCGGATCTGCAAACTTAGAAAATGTTATGCTCACAGGAGCGATTGAAAACCCGAGGAAAACAACGCATAACCTACCTGCGTAAATGGATGGCGCAGCAAGTTTTATGAGAGATAATTTTTTTAAAAGTGATGCGCCTTGTGGTGTAATGGGTGTCTATTCGGAACGAGAAATCGTCGAGCCGAGTTCCAATTCCAGTTAGGTACCTTACATTTACTCTCGCGCAAATAACTTTGGGATAGGTATGAATCCATCGCTTCTTTCTCCAGCTATATGTTGAATAGCGAGGAAGAATGTGTTCTAGATACCAGTCTAAATAAAAAAGTATCGGCAACCGACTGCGAGAAAATCTTCAGTCTAATCATGGATCCTAAAGAGACATGATCGTTCAAGCGTGTATCACGTACTGCACTTAACTGACTGACTTAACAATACACAAAATCTATTAAGAGCCACAAAGGATAAGAAATAGTGAAGAACCATGATTGCCACCGTTCAGAAATGACACTGCACAAGAAGAAGAATCACGCGTCGTTAATGTATATGTTTGCTATTAGCCTAATTACTTTGTTCAACTGACTAAAAACAACGAGTATGGAAGCGACTTAATTATCGTGCAGACTTCTGACAAAGCATCTTAAAATGGACTAATTAGTGACAATTCTAGTGGTAAGCGGCTTAGAGATGTGCAAACCAATTCCATAGATTGAATTTGAATCCTACTTATTAGGTTTTTGTTATCTCTCTTGTGTGAATTCTGAATTAATCACGTGATTAAGCCTGGGACAACATTTGGAAATGCAAGCAGATTTGCGCCATTAATTTCGGCCATTTTTCTCGGAAGACGACTGCGTGTTCAACAATTAATGAGACCTATGACATTCATAACACTAAATCACAATCATTTCAGATCGTATGTCAAGACAAAAAATGTGTTTTTAGAAATATTTTTGCAATTGTATATGATCCCATAACTATTTGGGTTAATAAAACGGTTATGGTAATTTTAATTTATGTCGTATATTTTAAATAACAGAAAATTGAAAATATGGCGCAAAACATCGAAAGACTATTAAAATATTGAAAGATGCTTTCAAAAGTATTAAGAGACAGGAAAACTTCTTTAGAAACAAGAGTGCAGAACAGCAATACAGGGTGTCCCCAAAACCTGGACAAATCGGCAAGAATACATGTTTTCAAGAAATCAAATTTTCAACATTTTATTGTATTAAAAGACAGGAAAACTTCATTAGAAACAAGAGTGCAGAACAGCAATACAGGTTGTCCATAAAATCTGGACACTTGGGTAAAAATTCACATCTTCAAGAAATCAAATTTTCAACAACATTTGGAATATTAAAAATTAACATCTTCAATATGATTTCCGTCATTGGTTTTGCAAAGGTTGATTCACTTTACAAGACGCATCTGAACTCGCTGTAATATTACCATATAAAGTCTGCTGCCCTCGAGGTTTAAAATTCAAAGACGAATATGCAATGTGATCGGTCCTGACTTGGGTTCTCGACCCCAGTCCCTTTCACACCGACGTAATGTGGCTTCCCTCTGTCTTTTCTATAAATATTTTCGTTGCATCTGCTCTGACGAGCTATTTTCACTGGTGCCCCGACTGCATAAATTTTTGCATGCTACTAGGTTGGCATCTCGATTCAACCCTTTTACTGTCGAAACATTTCAATCTAAGCGTCTCTTCTAATCCAACAGCTCCTTCCCTCGCACTTCCTGATAGTGGAACTCCCTACTTCTTACTTGCTGCTCTGATAACTATAATCTTCAAAAAATTTAAATGTAATGTCAATCGACATTTTCTGCTGCTTGATCCCCGTTCTTCTTTTTATACTTTCCTCACCCCCACCACATATACCCAGTTATTTGCTTCACTTACACTCTCTGTATCCCCTTGTGTACTAGCAGCACTCACACCTTGCTGGTGGTGAGTTGCTTTAAAAAGACAAAAAAATATTGCTGTCAAGTTTCCTTCACTCTTTATACGTTCAATCAAGTGTGTTGCATCTGTGATTTTCATTGAGTACATCTTCTCCTTTAGCATACCCCAGAAAAAAAAGCCAGTTCTTTCTTCTTTCAACAAAATCATGTTTAATACGTTGAGGTAAAAAATATAATTAGATTTCCTATGTGGTCAGACTTTAGGAACCACCTTTATAATATCACTCCTCCTTTTTGACAATTGATACTGGGCAATTTTCACACAGATGAAGCAACAGAAATTTAGTTCTACCGAAGAATTCCGAAAATAACATAGACAGAACATGTGAGAAACGATGAAGTTTCAACAAAGATTGGAACAAAAATGAAACGGTTGATATTTCTGTGACATAGAATAAGAAAAGTTGGCTTTGAGAATCACAGGCAAGAGTGACATATAGGAAATCGAAACACCTATATTATTATTGTTGTTATTATTGTTGTTGTTCTTGTTATATTTTTTTTTATTATTCGGTGGGTTGGGGATCATGGCTCGCTAATATTCATCCTTGGCCCCACTCAATTCCTTATTTTCATCAATGACCTTCCTGACGCCATAGATTCCCAAGTTGGCATCTACGCGGACGACACTACAATTTACTCCTGCCTCAAAAACAAGTCTAGTGTCGCTGACAAAACTAACCTGGCCGTTCGTCTTGAAATGGACCTCCAATCGGTTGTTAATTGGGGCAAGAATTGGCTGGTCAACTTTAACGCCTCAAATGCTAAACTACTCTCTATTAATCACCATAGAGATCCTTCCCTGCCCCCATTAGAATGTCTGATAGTCAACTTCTTGAGAGCAACTCCCTGCGTCTGCTCAGTCTCACGTTGACTGCTGACCTGAGATGGAACAAATACATTGAGTCCATTGCTTCGTCCACCGCGAGGAAAGTTGATTCTCTGTGCCGCGCCAGGAAATTTTTCTCCCCGGAATCGATACTTCAAATATACAAATCAACCATTCGCCCATGCATGGAGTATTGCTGCCATATATGGTCTGGGGCACCTTCTGTTTACCTCGGAGTTCTTGACACGATCCAGAGACGGATATGCAATATAATTGGCCCTGATCTGGCGTCTCGTCTACAGTCACTCTCTCACAGACGCGCCGTCGCCTCTCTCTTTCTTTTCTACAAATACTTTCATGGTAATTGCTCCGCTGAGCTGCTTTCACTGGTTCCCAGACTCCATGAATTCAAGCGCCCTACGAGGCTGGCATCCCGCTCCCACCCTTACACTGTAGAAACTTTTAAATGTAGCCGTCTCTTCTACTCCAATAGCTTCATACCTCGCACCTCTCGCCTGTGGAACACCGTTCCCAATTACTGTTTCCCTGAGAGCTATAATCTCCAACTATTCAAATGTAATATCAGTCGACATCTCCAGTTACCTTGATCTGTCCACTATCCCTTTCCTTTCTTCTATCACTCCTATCTGCTCTTGCACCTAATCTTCTGCAACCCCCTGCATCCTAGTGGCTTCCCGACTTGCTCGGGGCGTAATGCTTAAAAGAAAAAATCATATTCTTTGCATTTCTTAATAAATAGTATATTTTTGTTATCTCTCCTAAGTCCTGTTCCGTTATCCATTTGCACAAGCTCGCTATGTAGGGTATTCATTGTTTTCTTCTACCCGAATTGCCGTCAATCTGTCCTGTGAGTATCCAATTTTCCAAGCCCTCATTCTTCATCACATGACCTAAGAAGTCTTAACTTAATTTCTTCTTAAACGACGTCGTTGATCGCATGTTCAATTAATGGCTTTCTTGGTATCATTCCGTAGAACTAAATTTCTGTTGCTTCAAGTCACTTCTTCATCTATGATAATATTGTCCAGAATTCACTGATGAATGGTAGGGGATATTACGTAACATTTCGGTATTTTTTTTCTTAGTTTCTAACGAAATTTTATATGCGAATGTAAAGTCATATGGAGGCAACGTGTGACGGACACTTCTTTAATAATACAATCATATAATTAAAATCTGATTTAATTTACATTTTAATCAACTCTTTTATAACATATAATCAAAAATATATATTTCCATTTAAAGGAATGTCACTGAGAGAAAATACCATAGCCATAAGTTTATAAATAATTAATGGATTTTATTCTTAATCTCTCATATTTGTTTTATATCAAAACTTAATTTTAGTGGTTACCTGTATTTGATTAGACGCTTCGTTAGACAGAATAAACACGGTTTTAAATCAATTGGTGCGTCTAGACAGATACGGGGATTCACTAAAAATAACTTTTGAGGTAATAAACAAATGTCGAATTAAAAAAATAAAATACATGAATTCTTTAGAAATTCCTCCGTTTACGTTTCGGGTATAAAACTGAGCAGATATGGAAATATTAAAACCGTACAATAATTTGATTGATTGATTTTATTTTACGGTCCACTTTTCAACCATTTACAGGTTATTTAATTCCAGAAAATATTTTTAGATTACAAGAAATTTTTGTTAAGATAATAATGATTTACAGACACACGTTTTACTTATTAACCCTTATCTGGGGGAGAAGAGGTGAATTTAAACATTTCCAAGAGTAATTGCGGGTAAGTGAATATAAAGAATTCATCTGGAATTAGAACTCGGTTCTCTGATTAACAATTCCGAACCATTATTTATTACACCACCTGCACATCCAAGTTTATAGCACCTGGTATACGTAAGCGGTCACTCATCAATTTAGGTACTAAACTGGGGCGACGTTGAGAAGTCTGGGTTTTCTACGAGTAAGAACAAACAACAGCCAGAGTTGGTCACCTCGACGTGGTGTAATGGATAGCAATCTTGTCTCTGTAGAACAATTACGATTGAGTAGCGTGTTCGATCCTTGCTGCGTGCGCCCTACTTTGTGCCACAACTTATCTACGCTTGGAAAATCACTATAAGCTGCAATAATAATTAAGTAAAGTTAATGTGAAAGAATAATTAAATGAAACTAATGCGATTGACAAACGTTATAATCATTTTATCGAGACAAC